GTGGCATCAATCAATCAATCAATCAATTGGGCATCAATCAAGAACATTTATTTTAGTGGCTGACCATAAAGATTGACCACAATTGGTCTAAACTTTCAGTTTTTATATGAGGTCGTCCATTTAAAAAAAGTTAGCAAACAGATAAATGGGAAGGTTAGCACAGAACGGTTAGGATAAGGGAATGCACTGCTGGAAGCGGTGGTTGAGGCAGAATCCATATTAGCTTTCCAAAAGGTTAACTAGACAAAACACAAAAAAGTGCAGATGCTGGAAATCTGAAACAAAAGCAGAGAGAGCCTGGAAAACTCAGCAGGTCATGCAGCATCTACGAAGAAAGGAAAGTGAGTAAACGTTTCAGATCCACGACCCTTTGTCAGAACTGTTCCGAAACGTTGACTCAATTTCCTTTCTTCATAGATGCTGCCTGACCTGCTGAGGTTTCCAAGCTCTCTCTGCTTTTGTTTCAGGTTAACTATACAGATATTTAAAGAGGAGTAAACTACAGGGGTATGGGGAAAAGGGTATTGAAGGGTATTGAATGCATTATTCTTCAAAAGAGTCAGCGCAGACATAATGGGATGAATAGTTTTCTTCTGTGCTGTAAATTTCTATGGTTCTATCAGTTGCCCTATTTTAGAATACTGTGCACCGTCCAGATAAGGTGGCACATTATGACCTGCCACTCTGTAAGGGCGGTCGGGATGATGTGAACCACTTCTTAGAACAGTTGAGGTAGAAACAGAAAATTTAGACCACTCCAATTAGTATAGTTATATTTCTGATTTAATCTGTTTTCAATCAGTTCTTTACATTTCTGACTAAGTTGAAGTAAAATAATAAATAATACGACTTTTTGTTTCCTTTTCATATGCAATCTGCGGCAGTGAAATGTCTCATACCTGTTTTAAGGGTAATTGCTGTCAAGTGTAATAACTATTGGTAGGTAAAGGTGCAGCTAATTTGTGCACACTAATAGTAGCGATGGATGAATATTTTATAGTTTTAGTTGTTTTACCTCAGGGAATTGAGGAGTATTCATAAAGATCTTTTCCTCAGTAGATTAAAGAGGTAAGATAAGAGTCTACAATGAAGTGCATTGTGTTTGGCCGGTGGTGGAAGCAGGCTTAATGGCCTTTTCTTGTTCTTCCTTTCTTTTATTCATAACATATTGACATAGCTTCTCTGGACAGGTTTTCATTTCCAGAAAACATCCAGGAAAATAGTTGAGACTTTGAAGATGAAATATGCAGGGAAAAAACTGTGTGGTGTAAAGAATTCAGTGGTACTGTTAGCACAATATCGTTTCACCTGGGGGAACAAGATTCAAACCCAGCTCAGACTAATGGGATGAAAATCTCATCTCTCCGCTGGCCGTAAGAAGTTGAAGTAAAATTAAACTGAACAGTCTCAAACCAGTTCCAAATGGGCACAGGTCCACAACGCAAAACTGTTCATAATTCGAAACAAATTCACAGCTTTACTCAGAGGGGCTGTAAGATGGTTGATGTGGGAAATGGAAATATTCACACTGAGTACAGTGGGATTACTCTTCTGAAGCTGGGATCAATGTATGTCTTTTGGGCAGAGTGAAGGCGGCTTTACTTTATATCTGATCCATGCTTTTTTTTCAACCTGAGAGTACTTGATATTCACTTTGAGGTTGAAAAAGCATTTGCTGGGAAAATGGCAGTCTATATAGCACTGCATACTGGAAATCTCTTCTTGAAGACCAATTCAGATCCCAGAGAGTCATAATGTTGGAAGATATTCAAATGTAGCAGACAGATTTCTGTGCTACGCAGACCAGATTGAACTCTCTAATGGCTTTTCAATGTGTTTTTACCTTATCTATATGAATGTGTGAGCCTGATACATTGATAAGCCTGTCATTTCATTTTCTCCTTCATTCACTGAAACTTCCACACACAGTGAGATACCAGCAAAATAGTTGCTCAGAGGAAGACCCTTGCAATCCAGCCACAAGGACTGAGGTATCAAAGTGTCCTCTGCTTGTAACCATTATGTCAGGTACTAATGTATTGTAAAAGTGTGCAGTTTACCAATAGAAACCAGACAAATGTCCACAAATAATGCCAAACCTTGCAACTAATGTTGCTCAAGATCTGCTGTAGAGAAGGCCCAAGACTCATAAGAACTTAAGAAATGCTAGACGAAAAAGACCAAGGTCCATCTTGTTCCCCTTCCACATTCGTAGTAGTCCCATTCACATAGTTCCAAATTACCTATGTACTATATCCCATAATGTTATTTCCTAATCTGTGTTTGAAAGAATCAACATTTCCTGCTTCAACCGTCTCTCTAGGGAGCCTGTTCCACCATTCGCTTACTGAAATAGTGTTTGTAAATTTGTTCTGAATTTACCCCCTTTCAATCGCAGGCCGTGTCCTTTGGTTTTACTATTCTGGGCAAGTTGTAACAGCCTGTCATGATCTATATTGTCTTGCCCCTTTAGAATCTTAAAGACAGCAATCATGTCGCCTCTCAATCTTCTCTTTTCCAGCGTGAACAAGCCCAATTTACTTAGTCGCTCCTCACAGTCCAGATCCTCCATTCCTTCAATCATTTTGGTTGTCCTCCTCTGTATCTTCTCGATTTCTCCAATATCCTTTTTGTACTGCGGTGACCAGAACAGTACTCAGTACTCTAAGTATGGTCTCACCAATGATTTATACAGTGGCAGTATTACCCCACTATTTCAACTAGCTATTGATCTTTTGATATATCCCAACATCTGGTTTGCTTTATTCACTGCCACAGAGCATTGTTGGGAGAGCTTCAATTTATTGTCAATCAGGACCCCCAGGTCCTTTTCATTCTCCATACATATTATTTTCCTTCCGTTCAAATAATCGTTGTTGAATTCCTTGTTGTTCCAATTTCTCTACCTGTTCATCTATAACAATGTAAATTTCATCCAATCAACCCCTTTGGCCCTGTTCATCTCAAAGCATACATCTTTGACTGCGCTTTCGGTCATTTTTCGCCTCCCCATCCCCCTTGGCTCCCACCCCCAACCCTCCTCCCGACGTGAAAGGACTTGTAGAAATGTAAATTGTATTGTATTGCCAATCAATGCTCAGACTGTTACTCTTTGCTCCATGATCAAAGGATAGCATGCAAATAACTTTTTTGTTTTATGAATGAATTGGTAATATGCTAATACTAATGCTATATGGGCATTCACATAGAAGAAATATTTTTCCAACTAATTTTGGGTGGAAGGGGATCTAACAAAGCAATGGTGACCTCCTACTTCAATCCAAGTGTAAATTTAATTAAGACAGGAAGCATGGTGTTTTCTTGCCACTAAAGAACAATTCCTCTTTCTGATTCTACGCAGCTTCAAACTTCAAAATAGTCTCCAAAGAGAAAGAAAGTGTAAATTACATCACATTAACCTTCCAGATATCAGGCTCTATAAGGTGAGAAAAACACAACCGAAGCAAATTCAACTTTGAACCCTGTGTTTCACCACACAGAGAAAAGAAAGATACAATGAAGGGCAGTTAATATTATTTTCAACTCTATTTCTTCAACGTGCCAAACCTCTCGTGAACTCTGAGCTGCTTATTCCTCTGTTGGGAGGATATTTTGGTAAGTTCTTCTTTGATACCTATTTACATGTCGATTCTAAACCACATAAACTACAAAATGTGGCAGAACAGCACCAATTGGCTGATTAGCCACTGTTTCTATGCTCCTATGTTCTTGATTGAACACTTCCCTTATGTTCTGCCGTTGAAACTAAGTTTCTGTCTGCAAAAAGGCTGTTGATGTAGATTGAATTCCAATAACTTGTACGTCATACTAACTGATGATCCCATAAGAAGGGCAGAGTGACTCCATCCAGAGTGGAGGAGAAGAAATGGTGCTTCATTGTGAACTCCAGTATGAACCCTGAATTCAGATCTATAAAGTTTTTTTTTATTTCCAGGGTAAGTCAAATTTTACCTCTATCTTTGTGTCTCAATGGGTTTATTTAATTCACACTAGGTTTTATTCCGTGTCACTGTTTTCTCAAAATAAATCTCATGTTTCCGAAGGTCTGAGTGTTGAATTACTGAGAATCAGGCCGTTGAATTCTAGCCCCTTGATTGAATTTGCACCGGTGTTGGGTTTTTCCATGTATTGTACACTTGGCTTAAACACTGTTTGCAGTTACCACATAAAAAGAGGCTATGTGAGTGTTGGAAGATCGACAGCAGGCTTTTTGGTGTGAAAATGGTGAGAAATTTGGGGAGTTTGTTCTAATTCAGCTGACGTGAACTCATTCTGCTTCTGCTGCATAAACAGACCTCAGATTTGTGCTGTGAGTGGTTCCACTGGTTCATAATTTGTCTGCATCCCTGCTGTTGGCAATAATTTAATATGCATGAAAAGTGACGTCTCAGAGGAGATCTTATAAAGGTATTTAAGATTCGAAATGACTGAGAAACTAAATCCAGAACAATACTTTTAGATATGCCAAGTCAGCAGAAAAAGAGGGCGGTGGTTCAGGATTGCCAAAGGCAATTTCAGGACAGACACCAGTATGGATTTTGGATTCCTTTACCCAGAGAGTAATTACCAACTGGAACAGTTTACCAGGAAAGGTGGTTAAAGCCAGGACGCTGGATTCACTTAAAAGGCAGGACTCTTCTCAGAAACATTCCTCTCCACCTCCTCGTCGCACAGCACACAAATTACTGCATTCTGCAGAGCATATTCTCATTCCAATCTGTATCTAGCCCAAAGTCTTCACAGTCTCAATTTGTCACCTGAAGCAATTGTCTAAAGATCCAACAGAGAATTAGAGGTATCTGAAGCAGCATTCCTCAAGAAATTCACACAGAACAGTTTTTTCCTCGACATACTGCTCTTCCAGAGGGCTGCCCAAAGTGAATAAACCGACAGGACGTAGGATGTTTATTATGTTTGGCAGACCTTTCGGTAACAGAGCTGATGCAGACTGATTGGGGCAGTGTGCTTTTTTCACTCACCAATGCATCGGGAACCATCAACAGATGTTACATAGCCATGTGGACAGGAACAGTAAAAGCTGCCAACTGTGTTCGTGCACTCGCCTCCATCACATGAACCAAAGATGGTGCTGCATTCATCCACATCTAGAAGAAACAAGAAAAGTTGTCAAAGGGGGACTGACAGCGAAGAAACATTTTTTATTTCTTACAATTAACTTGACAGATAAAACAGTAGCTTATAGATCATCACAGATATTGCTGGCACACATTGCTCTCCATTGTGGAACACTGCTGTGCACAATTGGCTGCCGAGTTTCGCCCACAAAATAAAGTCAACTCACTTTACATTATATTCTGTGACGCGTTTTGCGACATCTCGAAAATGTGATAAGGCGTTATATCAAATGCCAGGATCATCATTATTATCATCACCAGCTACAATCACATGAAAAAAATGAACCACCTAACTAAGGGCCGCCAACTGCTGTAAAGTTTCCCCTAGCAACGGTGCTGTATCTTCAGGAGAAGGGAAGGAGTGAGAGAAGTCCCAGGTTCAGCCCTTAGTCTCTGCTGAGTTTTCTGATCTTACCAAAGGCATCAATCAGTGGGTGTTCTAGAACCAACCTCAGTGGCCCTGGGTTAGAAAATGAGAAGATTCTTGTTCCTGATAATTACTGGAAGTTTAGGATGAGGGAAAGGTTAGGATCAAACAGTCTACCAACTCTCACTGGGTTCAGGTAAAGAATCTTTTGGGCAAGAAGCAGAAGGCACCTATGAAGTAGAATTCTGTCTGGGTCTAGGTTTACTCTATAACATAGCATTGAAAGAATGTGCAGAATTGGCAAGATTGTTGAATTCAGTTTTAACTTTGAAGCCAGTTTTCTGTAGGTATTTGAAGAGCTTACAGGAATTTAAGACTGCATTTAAGAAATTGAGAAAATCTGGTCCCTCTGAAATGCTACACTGATAAGAGTAAATCTCAACCCACCTGTGCCTGTCAAAAAACACTGTCCCAGCACAACTCAGTATCTTCAAAAGCAGAAAGGACAAAAAGAAGAAAAAGCTACTACCTCTGTGACACATCAACAACAACAACAAAATTACATTTATAGGGTGCCTTTCACGTCAGGCGGATGTCACAAGAGACACGTAACAGCAAATGCAACAAAAAAAAATATATGAATAATACTTTTGTTGGAGAAAACTGTGTTTGTATCACAGTGCAATGCATTTCAGACACAAAGGAAACAGAGTCAAATTCAGTCCTGTAACTTTGCATCAACATTTTGGTCAACGACTGCCATTGACTTTTAGGTGATTTGACAGTCCAGTGAAGCGTAAGCTATTATTTGATGCCATTGTTGTCTTGTTTGATGCCTTAACTCCAGGACCACTGCTGTCCTGGCAGAATGTCTGTCAGACATCAAGTCCTGGATGAGAGCTAACTTTCTTCAATTGAACGTCAACAAGACCGATTGGCTCCCGTCAGCGCCTCCACACCACAGGCACCGACAGAGTCACCATCTATGGTTCCACACTCCACCTCACTGAGCCATCCGGAACCTTGGCGTCTTGTTTGACTCTCAACTATCCTTTCTACCCCATATCCATACCATGACCCGCTCTGCCTTCCCCCAACTCCTCAACATCACCCACACTACCTCTGTAACCGCCTAACACCCTACCATCCTGCCTGCTTACTCCGCTCAGTGGGCTCCAGCCTTCTTCACATCCCCTACCGCAGTCCCTCCGCCTCGCCCCCTCCCTCGCCTCCTTCAAGACCCTCCTCTTCGACCGTGCGTTTGATCACCCTGCCCTCCACCCTCTCCAATTCCGACTCCCAGCTCGAGTCCGAAACTCTGACTGTACAGTGCTTTGGGATGTCTTCCCGAAGTAAAGCTGCTATACAAATGTAATTTTGTTGTGGTTGTTGTTGTTATTGTCATCTCACAGCATTGTTTTGTAACTTTACAGACAAAATAATATGATGGTGTATTGAACTGTCATGTCGTGTTGACATTACTACTTTTTCAACATGAAAAGCTCTTTTTGTAAAACAAAATCCTGCCCTGAAGGCAGCTATATATGTTGAGATACACTTGTCCTGACATCAACAATGTCGAAGTGCTTCTCATAGGTGGTCGGCATTTATACGTGAACTTAACACAGAGGGAGTACGTACTCCCACCAATCCCAGAGGCATCATCCTCAGCTCTATCATGCTCTCACCTGCACAGATATTTTCATGGGGGCTTGTGGTGATGCTTAATGATCAGGGCTGGGAATCCTGGGAATCAGGGAATCCTAGCTGAATCCATCTCTGCCTCGCCTCGGGACATTGAGACAGCTATAGTCCCCTGACATGTAATCAGTCAGCAGATTTTGGGAAACATTCAAGCTCACTCCACAATTGCAACACATCAAGACAGGAATGATAATATATCCATTTCTAACCAAATGAAAACTTGTTGAAGGTATGTTTGAAGCTGTTCTTCAGATCACTTCAGATTGGGTTACTGCATCCATAATAATACCTAATATATTCACAAACAGAAGCTGAGTAGGTGCTGTGTCTGGCATCTCGTGGAGGAGTTTTTTCTCCCCGAATGAGGGCTTTGTTAAAATGTCTTTTTCAGTGATTTTGCAATGCACATTTTACCTTTCCACACATGCCTTCTCAAGGTATTGTTTAGCTATATAATTATTATAATAATATGAAAAATAATATAAGAATAATCCTTGCATTTGATATAGCACTTTACCACGTCTTTGAAACGTCTCAAAGCGCTTCAAAGAATATACTGTAAAGTAAATTAACTGTATATTTTGTGGGAAAAATATGGAAGCCAATTGCACACAGCAGTGTCCCACAAACAGTCATGGATTGAGTGACCAAATTATTATTATCATTTTATTCGATATTTAATAATCCTTAAAGTTGGTATTGGACCTTTCACATCGAGAGGATGTCTCAAAGAGCAGCACAATGTAATTACTGTGTACTTCGTAGGCGAATGTGGCAGGCAATTTGTACACAGCAATGTTCCACAAACAGCCATGAAGTGATTGAACCATTTTATCAGGAGGATTGTTTGCCAAAATACCAGGACAAACTCCTTACTATTTTAAAACAGTGTCAATAACAATGCTGTGCACTAACTTCTTTCGCAATGGTGGGCTAAATTTCCAATCTCATACGGGGTATGTATGTTTCAAAGGGTACAGTGCTCTGTTGGGATGTGCCTTTGCAAGAAGTCTACTACTATTTGAGCATAGCAGAGATAAGACGGTAGTGACATGGGCACCTAGTGGCTTGCTCTCAAAGAGACATATATTTATGGATATGAGGAAAAAAGATGTTCTGCACTTAACGCAACATGCTCCCCACAGGACAACATGTCTGATTCTTCTAACATGAGCTTTGAGAATGTAAGCACCAAATCTTAACAGCTGTGAAAGAACGCAGATGAAAGGGGATGGATTTCACAGTCCACATTTACAATGGGCCATAAATGAGCAGTTAATGAGGTACAATTAAGGTTTTGACTGCGCTTCTGCATATTTTTTTTGCCCCCCCCCACCCCACACCCACCCCAAAAGGCCCGCAAAATTCCTGATGTTATCAAAAAAAGGAACACGGTGATTAATTCTTCAAATTCCATCATTAACTCCTCTGCCGTTTCCAATGCAACTTAGGGCCCCTTTGTGCCGGCTTTCGCACAGACATAGCAATTTTTTCTTCTCTTGGAAAGCAGAACTCGCACTGCAGGCAACAGCTGTTCACAGGCAGCGAGCAGGCAGTTGTGTCTGAAACATCTAGAACATACTCTGGGGAGGTGGGGAAGGTATAAGCTGGGATAAACGAGCCAATTGTAAAGTGAGGGCAATTGTTTATCTCCTTCCCTGCAGGACGTTTAAAGAGATACGCCTAGAAATTGACTCCGAAAGCTGAAGCAGAAAATGTGAAGCAAAACTCAAAATCATCCCTAGTGCTAACATCCTATCGCGTCTGCCAAACCAAACAGGGCGCTCATTTGGCAGCTGTGATTCATGGCAGTCATTACACACTCCAACTCTGTGGTTATGTCCGGATAGTGGAACACTTGAATAATGCTATCGCTGAAGTGCCAAGGAGAGACAAAAATACCATGAATAAGGCCAATGTGAGGCTAGGTCAAGGAGCTGACTAATAAATGGGACCTGACTTTGACTTCTATTAGTTTCACTGTTAATATTTAGTGTTGATGTCCAGAAACATCTGTTATCAAAGCCAGAATGTGACCTCAACTATCAATTGTGGCATTTAACAATTAGTAGTTACTGGCCTTCCAAATCACATGGATGAACATGTTAAGCAAATGACTTTTCTTTAAACAAGATAAAAGGATATGTAGTTATTATTGTACCACTATTTTTTCAAATTGTGCTTTGACAATTAGTTCCAGTAACTGGCCAAATAATAATAAATAATAATAATCCTTGCATTTGATATAGCACTTTTCACGTCTTCTAGACATCTCAAAGGGCTTCACAGAATATACTGTAAAGTGAATTGACTGTATATTTGTGGGCGAAACGTGACATCCAATTGCACACAGCATTGCCCCACAAACAGTCGCGGATTGACGTGACCAATTTATTATCAAATCATCAAGCCTCATTAACACTGACATCTCTCAGCTCTATGAGCAAACCATTCACCTTAAACATAAATAGGTATATTACAAATCTTACTAAAATCCACAACCGTAAACTTAAAAAATGGATCTTCAGTGGGAAGATCTTGGCATCTGATAGACATTCTGCAGAAGATAGGAATTGAAGGAGATGGGCATTGGCTCTAGTGGCAAGAAACTTCACCTGGATGTAGGTTTACTATTTATGAAGCATTTTAGAGCATCCAACATTTGCAAATTGTTGAATTCAGTCTCAACTTTCAAGCCAGTTTTCTGTAGCTCTTCCAGAGAACTGTCTTAAAAATTAAGACTGTATTCAAGTTTTTATAAAATTCTGGATTATCTGCAAATAATAATCTTCACACTTGATATAGAGCCTTTCACGTCCAAAGGATGGCTCAAAGCGCTTCAAATGATTTACTATAAAGTGTAGTGACACAGCATTTTGTAGGTGAAAGGCTATATAAA